CTCACCCTGGCCAGCTTTTGCCCCAGCAGCTGAGACACTAGCTCGTGAAAGGCAGAACAAGATGTGGTGACAGGCGAAGCACTGGGCGAATATCTATGGCAATGATAGACGGAAGGGTGATTGAGTGGGTTAATGCCTCAAACTCTGCCCTAACTTGAACAGAGGCTCTCCAAAATGCGATAGCATACTATGAGCATACTATGAGCATACTATGAGCATACTATGAGCAGCATACATGCATAATACATGTATGTCTCTAGGTTTAGGTTCCTTCCATTGTCTGCATTGTACATGTTTGAATTGTGGGCTATCATATCATCCTCAAATTATTCTAGTGCCTATTTCACCGGATACATTAAAAGGCCGGTAGCTTTTGGTTAATCTTTAGCAAAGACAAGGATCAAGGAACTACAAGTTACGCTATAATGTCCACTGACACCACCGGTTACTTGCCAATCAGCTCAGTAGAACGTCAGTACCCTCGGTCAGTGTAGTGCAATGTTATCGCATGAGCTGATTGTCAAGTAACCGGTGGTGTTATTGGACATTATAACGTAACTTGTAGTTCCTTGATCCTTTTCTTTGCTATAAATTAATCCTCGGCTCAGTCTCCATCCGAGCTATTGCTTAGCAAGTTATTTCTCCTTATCATCGCTGCCCTACAACAACGATCCCTGATTTACTGGTTCTGGTGGTGACAGTTCAGTTTCAAGTGGGCGATTTACTCATTGCAACCCCCTCAAACTAATGAACAAATTAATCGGGTCTTTTGTTGTTGATTCCATTTCCTAAGATGGCGAGCAACATGAAGTCGAGCTGGAGATCATTCGCTACAACGATCACAAGAAGCCATTTCTGGGTGGCTTCATGAATCGTCGGAATGGCAAGGAGTATCATCATGCAACGGCCCAGACCAGACCGGACTATCGGCGTAAATCCAATGTATGTCGGTGTGCCGCTTTGTTCATGAAATACAAGTACACTCTTTAACTGAATGTAATACCTGTGTCATGGTGTGCAGGGGACCGGCGTCGTATCTGCCACCACTCAGTATGCATTGGAACATGGCTACCGGCACACCAGCACTTCATCTAGGACCATGCCTAGTTGCTCAGTGTGGTCTGTTTCACAGACTAGTACCAAGCACACCTATTCATGCGCCTTCTTTCACAGGATGTCTCCACAGACCTGGCACGATTATCAGTGCTAGGGAGGTGTGGAAAACGCAAAACAAGTGATGTACATCATGTTGTATTTTACTTGAGAAGTCAGCTAGCCTTGTACTGGACAACTGAAAATCCTGCTTCTTTCATTCTTGCATTCGGCAAGTATTATTTCTGTGCACTTCCTTGTTCAGACAGGGGCGTATCAGCCGGTCTGGCTGGTCCGGCTTTGGCCGGACCACTTTTTCGCCCGACCACGGCCAGAATGCAGGATTTTGTACCCTAGTCTCACATTTTTTCCCCGGTGGAGACCCCCGCACCCCCTCCAGCCATACCACCTCTAACGGCGGTACCATGCGCCTGTTGTTGCTATAGAAAACACTGGTAGAGGAACTTGATTGTTTGTAGCCATATCTCCATCTGCCTGCTGTTTATATGGTCGTTTTTATCTGTTATACAGGCACCCAGGGAAACGAGATCAACTCAAACAAAATGGATGGTGACTCGCGAGCAGCAGACTAGCCTGGACGCAGCTACACAAATGGTATGCCGTATGCTCAATGTCGGCTTGAACAATCGTCCTGCCTGGCACTGTGGTTTGTGTGTGCATGGTCAGCTGCACGGTGTACTGTGTGTTGTGCTTGGCCTGTCACTTTGTGCTGCAGCTTGTGGCAGGATGGCATTGATCCATGCTGTAATTCTGCGTACCTAGATAAGGCACCTGGCGACTGCTACTCTGATTGCCTTCAAAGTAGTGGTGACTGTCTCCATACTGAACCTATTCCGGATAGCGATCTCCATATTGCATGAGTTCGACTTGGTAAGATATAGATATTAGTTTCTTGCCGTGATTCCAAGTCTAAGTCTTGATGTGAGAAGATGCCGCCGCGTGACTATCAAGTGCACTGTGCTCCACCGGGTACCATTTATTGTTAGTTTGAAGCATAGAGACACTCACTGTGTATGCATGTACTAGACAACAGAAATGACCGGTCCCTGGGCTTTACTGAACATGCCGTCATGGTTTTATAGACTTACTACAGTAGTACTATAACATGTACGGGTATAGTGTCAGTACAGCCTAGCATTTGTTGTTGTTCTCAGTACAGCCTAGCATTTGTTGTTGTTCTCGTTCTGTACTGCTGCGGCATGCGTGTGGTGTTGACAGCCAAGACCAGACTATCATGTAGGCACTGATGGTGACCGCATCATAATCCCCGGCAGGTATCAGACAGCTGATGAACTGTTTGCACTGCGACTGGAGAAGGTAAGCCACATGGGATTGAGAAGTAGCCCGCCGCACTGGAATAGCATATCACTCCGTGCTTTATGTGTTCGCTTTTGCTTCGGTCAAACTCGTGATTCTAATGAAGAAGTGGACCAATGACAAGGCCAGCGCCAATAGCAGCAGCAGCAAACCATCACATCCCCAGAGCATGACCCGGCTGGATAATATGGCGATATGATGACAACATCATCGGAACGCGACGTGAGCATGGCATGGCATGGCTGGGTTGTGACCCCAGGACGAGACTGGGAAACAAGACACACACGCATACATTCATCAGCTGACCCAAGTGTGCACTTTGTGTTCAGTCAATGCAGAACGCTACTATCCTTGGGGAAGGAAGTATAGCAAGCTGCATGACTGCATGTGTAGTAATCATGATCAGGGATGTACATGTGTATTGTTTGCTTGTTCTAGGTACAGACTTTGTCAGTGCGCAAACAGGTCTCATGTCTTCTGAGAGGAAGAGTTGCTACGAGTTCACCTGCAACTTGCTATCCCACAGTGACATTTATTATACATCATTTGTACATGCACTGGGTAGAACGATGTGGGCATAATCCTCGTACTTTGTTTGGGTTGCAGATTCTCGTCATTCAGCGTGCATATCGTGTCTGGAAGCAACGACGGTACTTGGCATCGCTGAAAAAAGACAAAGAAGAGTACGATCGCTGGATACAGGAGGTACTGCATATTAATTCCCGAGCCTATGCAAAATACGTTACTTTACTAGCATCTGGCGCTAGCCATGGTCCACACGGCTTTATTGCATATCCTTGTTTGCGTAGGCGGTTGGGCGGGTGACAAGCCACGTGACCAGTTTCGCCAGGCCTGTGCCTGGACTTCCCTGGAGCGCTATCCCGCACATGTCCCGTGCTGTACTCTCAAAGAAAGTTGGCCACAAATTCAAATAGGGCTTTCAACGACAAGATTATATTTATAACGTGAAGCAACTTGGTAGGATGTGTATGTATCCGAAGCGTATAGAGGGAATGCATGCAGGGCAATATTATGAATTCAAATCCCATGTTAAGTCTGGAGAAAACTGAAAAAGAAGGAAAAATGAATAAGCTGGCACCATAGCGTAATGTAACTGCTTGCTAGAATGTACCTGTCTGGGAGGTAGATTTTTGAGTTATGTATCTATGTGTGTTTATGAGCTAAAGTTTCTTTTTTAATTTAAATTAGGAACGAGAGAGCTTGAAATCCTACGAACCCTCGCTTTACTTTGCTTTTACCTACAGTGTAGTAGGTCATCATGGGTCTTACTGATTATTCAAACTGATAGAAACGGTCATCATGGGTCTTACTGATTATTCAAACTGATAGAAACGGTCATCATGGGTCTTACTGATTATTCAAACTGATAGAAACGGTCATCATGGGTCTTACTGATTATTCAAACTGATAGAAACGGTCATCATGGGTCTTACTGATTATTCAAACTGATAGAAACGGTCATCATGGGTCTTACTGATTATTCAAACTGATAGAAACGGTCATCATGGGTCTTACTGATTATTCAAACTGATAGAAACGGTCATCATGGGTCTTACTGATTATTCAAACTGATAGAAACGGTCATCATGGGTCTTACTGATTATTCAAACTGATAGAAACGGTCATCATGGGTCTTACTGATTATTCAAACTGATAGAAACGGTCATCATGGGTCTTACTGATTATTCAAACTGCAGTGTAGGTCATCATGGGTCTTACTGATTATTCAAACTGATAGAAACGGTCATCATGGGTCTTACTGATTATTCAAACTGCAGTGTAGGTCATCATGGGTCTTACTGATTATTCAAACTGATAGAAACGGTCATCATGGGTCTTACTGATTATTCAAACTGCAGTGTAGGTCATCATGGGTCTTACTGATTATTCAAACTGATAGAAACGGTCATCATGGGTCTTACTGATTATTCAAACTGCAGTGTAGGTCATCATGGGTCTTACTGATTATTCAAACTGATAGAAACGGTCATCATGGGTCTTACTGATTATTCAAACTGCAGTGTAGGTCATCATGGGTCTTACTGATTATTCAAACTGATAGAAACGGTCATCATGGGTCTTACTGATTATTCAAACTGATAGAAACGTCTTTGCAATACGATTAGCGGGCACATGGTTTTGTATTCCAAAGATGTTTCTATCAGTTCTAATAGCACACATGATGACCTAGGTAAAAAACAAAGCATAGCGAGGGCTCTTGGGCTTTGAGCCCTCTCGTCAAGAGCCTTGCATGTGTCTTTACAGTCATAGTCATAATGAATCATTGGACCTGTACTGATCTGGTGTTCTCGTGAAATGCGGATTTACCCATCTGGCGTTCCACCTCCTATTTCCAAACTTGCCAGTACTTAACAGATATTGTGACTGGAAGTGATCACGGTTCTTTTTCAGTCGACACATCTGTGTGTGTGTGTGTGTGTGTGTGTGTGTGTGTGTGTGTGTGTGTGTGTGTGTGTGTGTGTGTGTGTGTGTGTGTGTGTGTGTGTGTGTGTGTGTATGCCGGAGTATGTGGTGTGATGTGTGTGCGGAAAAAATATGAAAAAGACCAAAAAGTAAGGATTCACTGGCCAGAAAAAGCCTCTTCATAGCTGTGTGGTGTAGACCAGGCTGAATAGTGGCAGTCAATTCTTCAGCCTTGCAAGCTGTTGAATGGTGCCATCCCAGCACAAGCTGCTATGGCTTCTGCTGTAGCATCGCTATCATCGCCTCTGGCGATGGGCATCCAATGGTGTGTGTTTGTGTATGTGTGTGTATGTGTGTGTGTGTGTGCGTGTGTGTGTGTGTATGTGTGTGTGTGTGTGTGTGTGTGTGTGTGTGTGTGTGTGTGTGTGTGTGTGTGCGTTAGGATATAGTGAGACGTGAGCAAGTGCGAGAAGACCGGCTAACCGAGCACTATGAACGTACCCTCCATCCCAAAACAAAGGAGGATTTTGACCGACTGTATGCATCGCTAGAAGGTGAGCTGCTCAGTACTCTATGCTATACAATAGGTGTGCTGAATTAGCAAAAACCCATACGATGGAAAGACATCAGAATATACATGTACATGTAGTTTTAATGGGGGGGGGGGGGGGGGGGTCGCTCTACATAATAACGTAGGAACTGCACGTAATTTTCATACGTAAACATCCCGGGCACTGTTGAGTTTTTGCTATTATGTAATTACTCCACGACTCTATGCTAGGTATGCCTTGCTGCGTTGGAGACGCGTAGCATCGGCTGCATACACCCACAAACCTAAACCACGTTCTCCATTTTGTTTTCCACGTGTTGTGGACTTTGTGTTTCGCACGGCTTGACTATTGCCATTGAAATCCGGACAATGCAAAAATTATTTCAAAAGGTCCTGCGGGGGAGGGAGCACATGAAAGTGCTTTCCTACGGAAATCCCTAAAGAGATCTACGTATGAAAGTTGCCCTCGCTCCCTGGCACGTACAGCACACAGATTTTCATACGCAATTTACATAGAGCAAAACCTCCCTAATATAGAATAGTTTGAGATATGAACAGACTTACAAAAGATTCTCAATAGGCCTTGTGAAGTGGATTAAGCTCTTGTAACGTTATCATTCCTGTGTATGATTCTTGTTCAGCTTGGCGAGTTGCAAAGACAGAGGAGATCAATGAGAAGCTTGGTGGTGCAGACCGTAAAGTTGCCCTAAGCGAGCTGATGGACAAAGAGGCTAGGTTGATAGCTGGCGCTGGCAGACACCGCATCAATGCCGAGGAACAGACATCCAAGGAAAGAGTAGCCAACTATCTGCAAAAGGTGAGAAATGTGAAGACACCGTCACGTGGCAATGTCATGTACATGTTGAAATGTACTCGGGAAATCAAATAAAGTGACATCCATCACTGAATAGCATGGAAGAATGAGCCATTCTTGTTTTGGAAACCACCATTATTTGTATGGTGTGTGGCATACTCATCTGCTTCTACACATATCTAAACTTAGTACTGATGGTATGCTCGTTTAAACAGTAGAGGAGAAGCCCTGGTGGGTTATTTAATCTTCCTCCACAATCATGAATGTGTCACCTGCAGACGGCAGCACCACGTCGCTGGAGAGCGTTTGATGGCAAAACAACAATAATGGAAACGGATAACATCCGTCGTGCACGTCAGCTGAAGCAGATGTACGAAGATATCACTGCACCAATTTCCACATACAATGAGCGCCTGGATGCACTGCTCTTAGTGAAGTGTACGGTGCAGGTAAGATATTTGATACAGTCATGTGTGTAAGTGGGCATATACATGTAGGTGAGCCAGTGGCTTGGTCTTGGAATAGATGGACATTGTGTGAGTGTGTGTGTGTGCATGCGTACATATCTGGCAGTATGCCCGTATTCCTTCCATCTTGATTTTGGACACAGCCTCATGCCCGGTCACAAGAGAGATGGGAAACCTGTTCAGACTTGGGGCATTGCCTCTCTTGTATACTTCCTTTGACTCACTATGCGGATAGACGGCGGACTGCCCTTTGACCCGGGACATCATTGAGCAGATTGAACGTGAGACAGAATGCATCAACCGTGGACTAAATGATGCCAAAATGGATGGTGAGTTGCTAGGTGTTGCCTCATACCCAAAACTCTAGTGTATTTAACTCGTGGCTTTTTTATAGTGCAACCTGATGCAATAGAGCCTGTTTGCCCCATACTCGATCAAATGCAGTCAGGTCGGGATGGGGAGGGGGGGGGGGGACAATGGGATATCTACCTAAGGGACCCCGGTATGGCTGTATTTTCTCCACGATTAGCCTATTAGCAGCTAGTTGTTGCTGGATTTTGTTGCAATATTTCTGCTCTGGATTCCTTGGCACACTGGTTTTGGATGATTTATTATTATAATTATACGTTCCTCAGAAGGTGGATCCTCAATTCCTCATGTTCCAGACTGTTGGTGTCATGGCTACAGCAATTTTGTATTTGCTCTGTTTTATCTCAACTGGCAGCAATGAGAAAGCGGCTTGCTGTCCTCTTCTTGCAATACATCAAGAACCCAATGTTCAACCCGGAGGCTGCTCGCTACAATAGAGTATGTTCAGTGTACTGTTTGTACTGCAATGATGTCACTGTTTGTACTGCAATGATGTCACTGTTTGTACTGCAATGATGTCACTGTTTGTGCTGCAACGATGTCGCAGTGTGTATTGCAATACACCCAGTTTACTCGGTAGAGTAGGAAGGTGGTGATGGATGGGGATGGATGATTCCTTACTAAACCTATTAGAGAGTACCTCTTGCAATCACTATGCTGACAAAATGGACCTATTTGCGGGAGGAAACTGTAGTTAGCACCCACCCTCACTAGATTCAGCCCACGCTGCCGCCACACAGCGGTCTGATCTGGGCGCCCTTGCCACACGGCAGGGACGCCCAGCTCAGGCTGGTTGCGTATTTGGCAGCCCAGCGATCTTTCATGGGATTAGATTTACGGTGTGTGCTCATAGCGGCAAGGGCAGTTATGGGCTGAGGGTCACGTACACGACAGCCTGGCACCTGGCCATCAAGGATGCATTCGCATTTGGGTCGCGGAAGTGCCACAGGTGCGTTGCCCCCCCCCCCCCACCCGGGCCCCCGTACCCCAGGGCCCTGTACCCCAGGGCCCCGTGCCCCGTACCCCAGGGCCCCGTACCCCATGGCCCCGTACCCCAGGGCCCCGTACCCCAGGGCCCCGTACCCCAGGGCCCAGTACCCCAGGGCCCCGTACCCCAGGGCCCCGTACCCCAGGGCCCCGTACCCCAGGGAGGCTTCAGGTGTACTGTGTACTCGCTACTGGTACGGGAAAAACTGGCCCACGGTGCCGGAGGCTTGCTGAGACCTCACTGCAATCTGACCAACCTCATGGTTTTACAGTTGAACACAATCATCGCTGGCTTGTTTGTAGCCTGCCATGAAACACCCCAACTTTTTCTGAGACTTTGTTTCCTTTCTATTCCTGCAAATTCATGGCGGCTGCACAATACAGCATGTAGGTGCAATATTTGTACACTCGCTACAGTGTGTAGATTATATTACTTGTTGGTCTCTCCCGTAGGTTCCCATTGATTCCAAGAAGTTAGTGAAGAATGTGCACTTTTGTCGGAGCTGCCGCCGCTACCTACCCAGCATTGACTTTGAAATCAGTGCGCATACAAGGTATGTGCATTGATGTGTGTTTCTGTGTGTTTTAAATTAAGTGGATGGGTGTGCATGTGACCCATCTAGTGGCACCAGGCCGTCAACCAATATAGTCAACTCAAGCAGATAAGTAGCTCACCTGTTCTCCGTCTCACACAAGGTAGTCGAAGGTTGAAGGGAGCGATCAAAGATACTTTATTCCCGTAGCTAGGCAGAAAACGTTACTTCAGTAACGTCTGGCGCTAGCCAGGGTCCACACAGCTTTAATTTGGTATTTGTTTGTTTGTTTGTGTGTTTGTGTCACGCCTGGCGCTATCCCGTATCTGTCCAGTACCGTACCGTACCATCAAACATAGCTGGCCACAAACAGCTGGCCACAATATTCGTCGTATTATGTACACGACTGCCTGATGTATAGGGAGACGTTCTGGAAAGAAATAGGGAGACGAGGAGGAAATGCAATTAGAATGGACGTTAGTTGCCGAATAGGTGATAGGATGCGTCAGCAAAAACATACTTTGGAAGAGAGATGCCGTCGTCTCCAAAATAAGCGTGAACGGGCGAGTCAGCGCCGATCACAGGAAACGTCGGAAAAGAGATCCCGTCGACTCCAGAACGCCCGTGATCGGCAGAGTCAGCGCCGGTCCCAGGAAACGTCAGGACAGACATCCCGTCGACTCCAGAACGCCCGTGATCGGCAGAGTCAGCGCCGGTGTGTGTGTGTGTGTGTGTGTGTGTGTGTGTGTGTGTGTGTGTGTGTGTGTGTGTGTGTGTGTGTGGTGCAATCCCAGCACAAGTTGTTATGTCTAACATAGCTGTTCGCTATCATCGCTTCCGCGATGGGCATGTCTGAGTTTGAGTGTGTGTGTGTGTGTGTGCGTGTGCGTGTGTTTGCGTGTGTTTGCGTGTGTGGTTGTGTGTGTGTGTGTGGGTGGGGTGTTTGTGTGTGCGGTTGTACATGTGGTTTGTGTGTGGGGGGGGAGGGGGTGCTGTTGCTGGAAGTGGCATATTTCTAACAAGGAGCTGTCAGTGATGTTCTGGGGCATGTCTGTCTGTCTGTCTGTCTGTCTATCTCTGTCCTCTTCTGCTGACCGATGGTTGTTATTTTTCTTAGAGCTGTCGGTCGATGCAAGCAGTGTGTCAAGCTGGACAGCGATGCACGCACTCGCAAGGACCTGGCGTACTACCGGCACTTGCTCAAGGAGCTACGTTTCCACGAAGCACAGTATGGTGATGAGACCACTGTTGCTCACCTTGTTCAGGTAAATAGCCACAAAAGAACATTTACCAGCCGAAATGACCTGTCAGGTGATCAGAGCATGGTTTTGTAAAATATATCCAGAAAGAAGAAAGAGGAAAAAGGAAGAGGAGAGAGAGAGAGAGAGAGAGAGAGAGAGAGAGA